TGCATCATGTAAAGGTACAATTCCCAATGAGAAATGTAATTGTGTTGTATACCTACAATGTACCAATAAAAGAATTTAATACAAAAAAAAAAATCTAGTTCCTCAACCACTTACTGCTAAGATACTGAAGAGTTCTCTACCCTCTCAAATTTCTTCTCTACCTTCCCTATTTCTAGTTATCTAACTAAGAATTCCTGTCACAAGAGAACAAGCAATTTATCACCTCACATCTCAATTTCTAAAAACCTCTCACACCATAAATCCTGATAAATAGTAATAAAATGCAAGGGCTCCTGTGCAGGACACCAGCTTGAAACTGCAATGAGCAGGCTTTAGATATTATTGATTGGGCTTATAATTTGGTTATTGATTAAAACTATGAGTCACTCCAAGGTCTAAGTGTAAATTGCTAATTGACCTTTCTGCTGGTATTCAGATAGACCTCCCTATGCCAATGGTCACATCACAATTGAGGTCTCAGTGATTGATGACGTTGTGATGTCTCTATAGCAAAGAAACACTGCAGCTGAGGAATTATGACTCTGTGCAACCATTCTCAAGATCAAACATTAACTAGATAATGCAGGTGGCTTGTTAGCTAGGACCTGCAAGGTAGCACAGATGCCTTGTTAACTGTGACCTGTCCTTCACAAGTATACATAGTCACTCCCCTTTTACCAAGCCTGGCTCATGAAGTGCATTAGTTCTCCTATCCCCTACATCTGCCTTCACATCACCTTGGTATGTTGTATAATCATAAATACTGATTAATCCAGTGCCTGTGGTCTTAGCCAGGACAGAGCTAAGATCAGGTGGTCTTTTAGCCAGAAGAGAGCTAAAGACCAATTCCCAGCCCCACAGAAGTAATAAACTATCATTTGTTCTTTATTCTTTATTTTTTGCTGCTTTATATTATTCTTTCTTCCCCTGCTATCCCCTTATCAGGCAACCAGGCATCCCCTGGTGACTGGTCAAGCTATCAACCCCACATTCCTAGGCTAGCTAAATAGTTTTCCAATCTTCTTTTTAAGGAAAACGGCCCTCTGTTTGTTCATATTCTCAACCAATGTATTGATTTATGAAAAGCCACCCACAAATTGGGAGAAAGTGATGCATATATCCCCAGCCATCTTCCATTCCCTGTCACCATACTATTGTTATTTGGTCAATAATTGTTAAATATGAAAAGGGAAAATACGAGTTTGCAAACTATATCAAGGAAAGCTTTGAAACAAACTAAGTGCAATCTTCATTACTCTGATGTTCAATTTGTTTGTTCAGCTTGAATGAGTGAAAATAGAGACAAAACAATCAGGTACCTAATGAGGTCCCGAAAATATGAGGAAATCTGTAAGAATAAAATAATAGGCTTAGCTGTTGTAAATACAGTTCTAGTACCAAAGAGCTAGACATGCTATAAAATCCAATAGTACATTTAGTTTTAACACTGATTTTACCAAAAAATTTCTATAAATTTACATTTAATCTTCACAATAATTTTGAAAGATGAGTATCATTATCTCAATTCTATGAATAAGGATACTGAGGCCCAGGAGGTTAAGTAACTCATCTAAGAGCACACAACCAAAAATTAGTGTAATTGGGATCTAAACTATCTTCCTTCAGTCCTATCTTTCTTCAGTGTTTTTAATGATTCAGTGGTGCCAAGATGTAGATGAAGCCCAATATTAAATATCACATAATTATCCTTGCTTATTTTGTTCATAAGGAACTAAGAGGTGTAATAAAAGACAAAGAAAGAAAGAAATCCAAACCTACCATTGGTTTCTGTTTCCTCCCTCCTCTCTGGAATTACTCTCAAACACTTAGTCACAACTATGTATAGATATGTTCATTGGGAATTCAAAAGAAAGTTCAATATTCTATTGTTTAAAAGAAAACAATTAGAACATATATAGAATATTCTGGGATCTACCTGGGCAATCTGCTTCTCCCAGACCAGTGTGAAGTAGCTGTATTCACTGTGTATACAGGAAATGAGCAACTGTTTCTGAATCCATCTTCCATCAATTCCTTGACTTTGGACTACTGACCAATGCCCAAAAGCTGATCGCCTCAACAAAACACAGCCACACAGGATGCAATCCTTGTATCTAGTAATTTCAGATTGATGTGGGCAGGTTGAAGAAATCCTAAAGAAAGAAGAAATTAAGTGCCTACATTGGTCATGGTGAAACTGGATATTGACGGGTACAACCCTTCTATCTGGGCAGTCTAGCACTATCTTTATACAAAAATACTTCCTTCAGTAATTATCTTCATGCTTTGACAGGCTCTATCCATATACAACTTTAAAAGTGGGGCTAAAAATGGAAAAACAAATTCTGGTTCTATTAATAAGAAGAGTATGTCTTATAAATGTCCTGCAAGTACAATTGAACTAAAGATGGAAAGCAGTGGGCAAGTCAAAAGCAAAGGACTTTTGCCTCAGCTTGGTGATTATCATTAGGCGTCAGCCAGTACTACATGTATCCAGTGGTAAAGGAAGAGAAGTAAACAGCACAAACAAAATGTTAAAAATATGCAACAAACACTATCTCTAAAACCAAAATGTACTTGTGGATTTTATAGCATGTCTAGTTCTTTGGTACTAGAACTACATTTACAACAGGTAAGTTTATTATCTTATTCTTGGAGATTTGCTCATATTTTTAGGAATGCATGATGTACTGATGAACACAGTGTACCTGGTTGTTTTGTCTCTATCTTCACTCATTTAAACTAAACAAACAAATTGAATGTCAGAGTGATGAAGACTGCAGAACAAGAAGAGAAAATGAACACAATGTTAGATCCAGGAGCTGGGGCCAGCAGCCAGATGTCTGAGGTTAGCATAGCTGCAAGCTAGCACCCAGCAGAGGTGCAAGCACATGTACACAGCGTTGCTGGACAAGCAGCAGCTTTCAGGGTTTCTGCCTTCTTTCAGATGTTGTGAGGAATAAATAAACAAGATACATAAATTGCATTTAACTTCATATTTTAAAGAATAGCCAAATAAACAACTTCTAGAGCACAGTGTTCTACTCTTCTCTGGAATCTCTTGAGCTTGGAAAAACATCTGCCAGTGGGTGCCCAGTTCAATTTGCAATCAGTTTTTCTCTGCACTCAGCCAGAAGCCCTGTTGGGTGTGGTTCTATCCAGCCAGCCCTACCTGTCTGAATCAGATTCCCTTCCCTCCATACTAAATAAAGTTGAGAGGAAATTTCTAGCCACCCACTCATCAGGGACTACAAGACCCACTCTCACCCTGCAGGCCTCAGGGTGGAACATGAATCCTTTTAACTACCTGGGCACAGTAGCCGATTATCAGGAAACTGCCTGTGGCCTCCACACATTGCCACATTATTTACACAGCTGATGGAAGTTTGCCCGTTGAGGAATTTGGCTCTAGAGGAGTCCCCTTCAAATTCCCGAAAGGCCTATTCACCCTGTCACACCCGCACAGATGCCTGTGGGGACAGCAACAGTAGGGTTCATTTTCTAACTTTCTCTGTACACAACTAGAATTCTACATGTTTATTTTAAAGAGTAGGGAGTCAGAGGAGAACTGGGGGGAGCTACAAAACCTAATATTATGGGAGAGATTTTCAAGAAATATTTTAAGTAAAATCAACAACCCCCTTCCCCTGCTACTCAGACATTCCTCTGCTCCATCCAGCAGCCCAAACTCTGCCCTCCATCCTTGCAGGCTTGAAGCAGAGCCAGGACAGGACTCCCAACAGAACATGGCCCTTTCCAAAGCAGAGGGGGAGATTCTCCATCAGCCAAACATCAAAGCAGAGAGGAGAGAAGCAGGAAAGGAAAGGCCTTAACATTTTTCTCCTCCAATAATTTAGAGCCCTCTCTTAGCAGAGGAAAAGAAAATATCATGACAGTAAGTTAGAGCTGAGGCGATAAAATGGAAGGAGTAACTTCCTGAAGCCACTCATGCTCTGTTTAAAGATAAGGATCACTTTTTATTCTTTCAGTTGTTAAATGTGTTAGAAATGGCGGTAAAGTATTTGTTTCCCTAATTCTTACAGTCCAATCCTGGCAGGGCTGGGGACTGTTTTTCCTTGTGAATGACCTCTTTCACTAGGAAAATTGGTCAGGAAACAACTCCCCATTTGAGAAAGAGGCATATATGAGATGTAAATTTATATCCAAAATGTTCCCTTTCTTAATTTCCTTTCCCTGCTCCTAGTTTTCTCCCAGTCTAAATAATTAATCATCTTACATTGCTCAAAAAAATCCTATTTAAGCACATTCAATCTAAAGGAGGAGGAGGAGGAGGAGGAGTTGGGGAGGAGGAGGACAAAGAGGAAAGAAAGAGGAGGGGAAAAGAAGGAACAGATTTTTCTACATTTCTCCCATTCTTTCCTTTTGGGGAGACAAAAGTACAGTTTCAAATTTGAGGGCTTAGGATTTGGGGCCAAAACGCTCTGAGTTTGACTGATTTTGCAAAATGACTATGTGACTTTGGACAAATAACTTTCATATTTCAACGTCTTTATTTGCATCAATTTCCTCACTTATAAAATGGGAACAAGAATGGTCCCAAACCTTTTGTTGTGAAGATTAACATTTTGTACTTTGAATGGTGCTTAAAACATCGTAAAGACAGTAAAAGTTTATGATTATTATTTGCTACCGTTTGAATGTGTCCCGCCCCCAAGCATGTTCTAGAAACTTACCGCCATTGTAACAGTATTGAAAAGTGGGACCTTTAAGAGCTAACTGGGCCATGAGAGCTCCTATTTTGATTTAATAAAATACAATTTCCCTGAAAGCACATGGATTTTGTTGTGACTTTTGTTCACTGTGTATTTTTTCAATCAATTTAAACTGTAGCTAATGGTATTGACCATTTGGAGATTATTTTTTACCTCTCATTACACTCAGAAGGTAGGTATAATCATCATCCTCATTGTATTCATTAGATTTAGAGAGTTCAAAGAACTATGTTAGTCTGCTTTCCATTGCTGTAACAAATAACTAAGATAAACAACTCAAACAGAGGAAAGATTTACTTTGACTCATGATTTTAGAGTTTTCAGTCCATGGTCACTTGGCTCCACTGTTTATGGGTTTAAGATGAGTCAGAACATCATGGCAAGTAGAGCATGGTGGAAAGAAACTGCTTATCTCATGGGAGCAACAGACAGAGAGGAAGGGGCCAGGCACAAAATATACCTTTCAAGGATGTGTCCATAATGCTCTACTTCCTCAAAGTAGGCTCCATCCCCTCAAGATTTCACCACCTCCCAATACCCCCTTAAGGTGTGAATCCACAAATGGGTTAATTAATTCATAAGATTCACACCCCAAATGTTCAATCACCTCTGAAAAGCCACACCTCAAAACACTACTGCACCAAGGATCAATCTTTCAACACATGACTTTTTAGGGCACATTTAAGATCCAAACCACCACAGTAACTCATCCTTTGGTTTTTCTGAAAGTAAATAATGGAGCTGAAATTAACTTCAAAGCTTATATTATTTTTATCCAATGTAAGGCCACTTTCTAATTGACAAGTGTAAAACATTTTACTTATTTTCATCCATGTATGCATATATGCAGGGGGTGTTTGTCAATGAAATTTTGAGTTTATAAAAGATTCTGTGCTTCACATGAGTGATGCCCTGGTTTATATCTATAACACACACACACACACACACACACACACACACCTCATATCTGTAAGAGTCAGTAACAACACAAACTATAGGTTAGAACTGACTTCAGAATAATGAGCTTTGTGATTTGAGGCAAACAACATGTTCAGAACCAACTTAGTCAACTGGTTGATCTCTAGGGATAGCTTCAAGCCGGAAATTCTATAATTCTACAATTTAGGTTGGCATTTTCCAAAATGGATTCTGCAGAATTCTGGTCTCAAGAGATGCTCTGTAGAAAAAAATTTTTTACATGGTTAAATATGATTTAGGAGATTCATAATTACACATTGTTATGGTTTATATCTGGATGTTTCCCCAAAGCCTCATGTGCTCATAGGTGGGGCTTTGGGGACATGATTGGATCATGTGGCATGATGCTCATCAGTGGATTAGTCCCCTGATGAGTTTATAGTTACATGTGATTTTGGAATTGAAGCCTGATTGGAGGAGGTGAATCATGGGAACATGGCCTGGAAGGTCTACTTCCTTCCCTCCTCCCTTGATCCCTCTCTCTGCTTCTTGTCTGCTATGCCATAAGCATGCCTCTTCTGCCATGCCCCTCTGTGATGCCCCTCTGCCATGTGCCAACCTGCCTTGAAGCCAGCTGACTATGCACTGAAACCTCTACAAACTGTGAGCCAAAATAAACCTTTCCTCTTCTAAATTGTGGATGTCCGGTACTGTGTTTCACCAACAAGAAAGTAACTAAGACACACACAAAATTGAACAGGTTCTCTCCTTGCAAGATTTCTCAGCAATAAAACCTTTTTCACTTTGTATAGCCCAGGGTAACCTAAAAATATTTGAACACCTAACATGTGTGAGGCCTTGGATTCAATTGCCAGTAACCCTCCACACACAGTTCGACATTAAATCCCTTTGAACATAAGCCTTTCGTGTAACTACCTGCTTAGGTTATAACTCAGCTTGGGCTGTTAAATAATTTCTGTATAATGCAGTAGGCTATGAAAGGTGACCTTTTATATTTCTTCCAAAAACTGTCATTCTGTGATTGTATTGGCTTTTTAGTGAAAAGGTATATATTATCTAAGAATTATACAGACTGTTAATTTTTTTGTCTCTCTTCAAGCATGGAATAAAATTTTTATAACAGTGACAGAACTAAACCACTGCAAAGGTTATGTTCCTTCAATTTTCAAAACCCATTCTAGGACAATAGTTCTCGAACTTTCCCATTGTTAAAATGAAGATTGGCAAGCCCCATCCCAGAGTTTCTCCTTCACTAAAACAGGATCGAGGCTTGAGGATTCACTGAGAATTCACACAAAGTCATTCTCATGTGATGCTAATTCTGCTGGCCAGAGACTGTACTGCTCATTTAGACCTCTTGATCATGACACAGAACCTGGAAGACACCTTATTGCTCTCTGCTTCCATCATCAGAGACTGTTACCTTTTCTCTTGCTTTCTGTAAGCCTGACTTTTGGAATATTTAGCCAAATATCTGTGGCACTTTCTTTGTGCTTTAAATTTTTTACTTAAAATTTCAAAAACTTCAAGAATCAGAGATAAGAAAAGGAACCAGAAGAATAGAGAGTTCTGATAAGGCTTTAATTTAAAAAAAGGGCTGGGGATTTAGCTCAGTGGTTTCGCCTCCTGCTGCGCAAGCGCAAGGACCAAAGTTTGATCCCCGATATCAAAAAAAATTAAAAAAACTCATCTTGAAAATATTTGCGATTCATCTATTTACAAGTTAATCCCTTATTTCTCATTCAATTGTGTTGATTAAATTTCAGTAAAATGATTTTATTACTCTCTCCTTGGAGAGACTAGCAGAATAAGTAATAGCTTGTAAATGTAGAGACAGTTTACATCTCTGACACTTGGGCTGGGACTTCTTTCGCTGGAGCTCACAGCTTTTCCATACCTTTAATTTCTACAGCAGAATATGCTATGATGCCAGAGGATCTATAGCATCACTGAGTCTCTTTAAAATAATAGAGACTGTGAATATAGCTACAGAGTCACAAACTCTTGGCAGGCCTGGTATAATAGATATGTTGCCGGGAAATCCCAAGTCACATTACTGTCAATTGACTCCTATTTACATATTCTAATTTTAGATTTGCCCAACGGACAAGACTTTCCAACTCTTTAGTTTGAAATTTCTGCTACTTTTGCCCCTCCCAGTCATACTGACCTGTCGAGGAAGTGAGGAGAGAAGTTAATCTTTACTAAGCATCTTCTTAGAGCTGTATCATTTCATCAATACCAAATCTATGATAAGGGTTTGACCTAAAAAAGTGGAAGCTCAGAGATTTCAGTCACATGAACTAGTGACAACATTAGGACACAATCAGCCATGACCACTCCAAAGGCCACTTTTTTTCACCTCAACTACCTATCAGTTATCATGCTACTGTCCTAGTGACCCTTAAATGGGACTTCAGAGCTCCCCCTTTAAAGAGAAAATGTGAGGAAGAATTCCTTGGTGTTGTGATGACTGATTCATAATTTATAAATTTTAGAAATTATCATTTTCATGCATGGATATGTTACCCTAGAGGTGGAAGCATCTGAAACTGAAATTAGTGAGAAGCAGCATGGATGCTAATGAGTAAAGTTAAATCAAGACTTTTTAGTCAGAAGGATTCAAAATGTTTCACCTTTATGCTGTCATTTAATAAGGCTAGTGAACATCCAAAGCAAGTAATAAAATGATAGAATTTAGAGATTCTCCACAAGTACATTCACACTAAGTAGAGACTTAGGAAGGCACATGGAGTATCCATCTGCTCTCACCACAGTGAAAGCAGAAACGACTTGCTAGCACTGACATGGTTATATAAGGCAGTTCAAGGCAGGGTTCTTGGTAAAAAGGAAAACATCTCATCTCCCCAGGCTCTGAAACCCTATGCAAACAACGTTCTCCCAAGGAAGCTGAGCTCTGCCCACGGAGCATTCTTGAGGGCTTAGTATATGTATAAGCTGAGCTCTCCGCTATTATACACACAATGTCAGGAAGGATTTTATGAATGTGTGACCTTAGGTTTTAAAAGGGGACCACAGAAGTTGACAATGACCTAAACTACTCATGAATGTCTGCCTTTCAGGGAAGAGTATGTTACTGATGAATCCAGGAGACTACATGGGGCTGCTCTGCACTCTGAAACCAAGCAAAGAATTGCCAGTTTTAATAGTTGCTGGGGTGTGAGAGACACGGCAATTGGGCTGCTCATGATTCCTCTGGGAAACAATTTGTTAGAAATAAACAAAGTTAGTGAATAGAGCTCTACTACTCTGGGATCTGCTGGTTTTCACTGGCTGATTTCCCAGTTTACTTCGGTAGCTTTATGTCAACAGAAACCCAGCTTTTTTTCTGAACAGACTTAAATATCACTGTTCTCCAGAGAATAGTACCAATTCTGGCTAATTCAGAGTGTCACAATTCCTAGGTCAGAAACACAGACCAATATGAGTTCAATGAAATTCCTACTTTCCTTTTTTCATGCAAGAGTTACTGATCACCTACAATGTGCCAGTTTCTGTGAGTGACACTAGTGATACAAAGATGATAAGAGATGCTCTTAACCCTCAAGGGGCTCAGTCTAATATGCAAAATAAACATAAAAGACACACAACACTACAATGGGATGGGCGTTAACAGGAAAAGACAGAGCATTGTTGGAGATCAGAAGGCAGCAGCCTACTGTATCATGGTTACCAGAGGGGACATTTCAGTTGGGTGTGAATGGATGGCTAGGGTGTCAGAGATGATTCTATGTGGTGTGATGGAGGCCACCTTGCTCAGGAAATGGTGAGAAGCTCTGTGTGGTGACAGCAAAGACAGTATGAGGGCATTCTGGGAGACACAGCAGAAAAATGAGGCCTTAGCGAGAGCAAGGGTTTGAAGGGGATTTGGGAAATTAAAGGTTTTCAGGGCCACTGGGCCATTAGATTTTCAGAGACAAGAGTATGGGGATGGAGGCATGAAATCCCAAGGGATAACCAGTCCTATCCAGTATCCAAACGATAAACGTCTGGACAAGTTTTGCTAAAGAAATGTCTAAGCTTAGTGATGAATGGTACCAGTTTAAAACATCATTTCTGGAGAAAAAGTCACAGCTACTGCTTCTGTCATAGATCAGAAAGGAAAGAAAGTCCTTACCTTTCCATTCAACAGGATACATTGCTTCCTTACTGTCTTCGTCCATTTTCTGTTACTATAATAAAATACTTGAGACTTGGTAACTTATAAAGAATAGAAATTTATTTGGTTCGTGGTTCTTGAAGCTGAGCAGTTCGAGAACATGATGCTGGCACCAGCTCACCATTGAGCAGAGGGCCTCTTGGTACATGATAACATGGTAGAGGGCTATATATGGCAAGATAGAGCAAATACGCTGCCTTTGGTCTACTCCTAGACTCACAAAGCCACAAATACTCTCACCCTCATGTATCCACTCTCACCATCTTATCCAATCCTAATTATCTCCCAAAGGCTCCACCTCCAAACACTAATATATGATTTTAAGGGTTAAGTTTCCAACATTTAAATTCTGAGGAACACATTTAAACCTAAGCCCCTCATATACCAGTTGTTCTTTATTTCTAAATTCTCACCTTTCCACACATCTTCCCTGCAGAGTCATCTTTTAAAACGCAACTTAGAGCTCTGGCTTCTCAGTGGTTATGGAATCTAAAGCCCAAATATCTTAGCAGTCTTAGCTCTTCTTCATACAACATACCTTTCTACCTTTCTTTGCTTTTGCTCATGTAGCAATGAACTGCCTATCTCCTTTACTCTCAATCTGTCAGAATTTTCCTTGTCCATCGCAACACAGCGTAATGGTAACCTCCTCAATGTTTTCTTATATTATTACTGTCATAATTACTCCTTCCTCTCTGGCCCATATCATCCTCCTGCTTCAACTAGGCCCTACGAACTCTGCCTTATCTTTTAGGTGGTCTATGGGAAGTTTCTTTGGAATGGACATCTTAAGTATATGGAAGGAAAAGAAAGAAGGGAAAGGGCTTGGTTTTTTAGTACACATAGTAACTGTACCTCAGACGAGAATCAGGTATTCAGAGGCAGTTGAGCCTTATTTTGAGGAAATAAGTGAGACAGGGTTAAAGACCAAAGTGAAAGGTTATCTTTTCCAAAGATAACCTCAATATTTTCCTAACTTTTCCACATGTGCCTACTGTCAGGAAATGGAGCCTAGTTTCCCTTCCTTTGAATCTGGGACAGCCTTATGACTGCTTGTAGCCAATAGAATGCTGCAGAGGTGGTGTTTGCATGACTGCTGAGACTAGACCAGGAAAGGCCATGCAACTTTTTTTCTCTTGGAATGCTCCCTCTGGAGGAGTCAGCCACCATGTAAGATATCCAACCACCCAGAAACTGAGACTGTGGTGCTGAGACCATGTATAGGTAATTCAGGAGAGAGGTCCAGCCAAGTTCACACTTCTAGCCATTCCCACCAATGTGCAAGATGCGTGGGTAAAATAATCTTGGGCCCTCTCATCCAGCTTGGCTGTCAGCTGAGTGCCACTGAGTGATCACAGCCACCTCCTGTAGAATCACTCAGAGGGGGCTTGCCCAAATTCTTGGCCCACAGAATCCATAAGATATGTTTCAGTGGAGCCTGCTTTGAGTTACTATATTTCAGGATAGTTTGTTTCACAGTAATAAATATTGGAAATGCCAGGGAACAAATCCCTGGCCCTACCTTCATGCCTAAAGCTAAGTACTCTTCTGTAAAGTTCTAATCACTGGCCAATTCAAGGTGAAAACTTCTGCCATCTCCCAAAAATACATAGGGTGGTTAGTGAGAACCAGGAAGCAACCTGAGTCCTAACATGAGGTCATAAGTGATTGGAAGCCCAGTACTTATCAGCAAAGGACAGCAAAAGTTATCCTGACCAAAAGAAAGTGCCCAGTAACTGGCCTAAAAGTGCTTAGTGCACTTTGTAGAAGCATGAATCAGAGGTCAGAAGCGTGAACAGACTCTTCATACCTGGCAAAGTGTAGAGACTAGAGATTTCATAAATGTTTGTGACAGGAATTGACTGAATCCAAGACCAGAGAGACTGGCAGTTCTGTTTACTGTACCACCAACGGTGGGCCATTAATGAGCCTGTAGTTGGGTATGTGATACAGATCCTGACTCTGCCTCCTTCTGAGACATTTTAGTCAGAGTGATCAAAGGTTGGAGAGTTGAAAACAGCCAGCTGGGCTCTCTAGAGAGGCTTTCTAAGGATTCAGCTGGGAATCATATGTCTTACGAGGTAACTCAGGCCTCTGTGCGTGCTGTAGATATCTTGACTTGAAGGTATATAGTATTTGTTGCTCTTGTAGTGTTTACATTTCTCTTTCTACCATTCTGTGAAACTCATTATCTCAGTATTAGCAGCCACAGTCCCCCAAACAGATTTCAATCATTATTCTGAGCCCTAGATAAAATATTACTCTTTTCTGACTTCACAATAGCCTTTTTCCTAAGGGCTATGTTTAAGATCTTATACTAATTTAAATCTACTGATGCCTGAAGGAGAGGCAGAATCAAGATCAATGTACAGACCCTCATAGTTTTCCTGAAAAGGAAATTATGAGATTTTCACTCTCCCAAGCAGTTTTCTTCTGGGAGGAGAGATCAGTATCATGTCCTGTATTTTCAGAAGAACTTTAATATTCTTATCCAAGGACCATATTTGGTGCCATAATTCTGCCTGAGAATGTGCTTTAAGTTAGATTTTTATAGGAGTAGAGACTTTGTTGTGACTTTCAAAGGACTTGAGATTTTCTTTAGCCAAATATCTTACTTTTATTAAACTGACAACAAATTGCATAATTTTTAGGATTATAATTGTGCCTATTTCCCTCCTAAAAATATTGAAATCCTTCAGTCTCCAGAAGCCCTAACTTTATCTCTGCTTTTAGAATAGAGTCAGTGATTTGTTAACCATGGTGCAAAAAAAAAAAAATGTTAAAACAAAGGACATTTCACTCACTGATTCAGGCAAAGAAAGACTCGAATCAAAACAAATGGAGACATTATCTCTAGAGGCAGACAGAATCAATTGCTTTTGGGTCAGTCTTGGCTTGGGGAGCCTAATGAAGACTGATCACTCGGGACGAGCTGCCATTAGTGGACCGTCACTTGCCATTCATCACTGCAGTGTCTTAAAGTGTCTCACTCAAGACTCCTTTGCTTTCCCATGCATTTCCCAGTACCTTTGGCTAAAGACATACATGTTGATTAGTTATTAAGAGACATGTAAGTTAATTACCATGTATATTGTTATTGAAGTATTTAAGA